AAAACCAAGAAAGAGTATCAACTAAATCAAAATCTGGACCTTTAAAAATAGCAAAAAAAATAATGAACCCTTTGCTAGACTAACCAAGAAGAAAGTCAAATTATCAAAATAAGGAGCCAGAGGCCAGTAAATGTGGATCTTTACAGCTAAAATCTAAACAATATTTTCAAGAAAAGATTAGAAAAGCCGTTTATTAGAGTTTGGATTTAAAATGTCCACCAAAAATGCAAATGTTCAAAGGACAGGCTTTGGAAGGTGACTGGACCATAAGGGCTCTCAACTTCATCAGTGGAATGGTACACTGATGACCATAGCTGGATGGCATTACCGGGAAGCGACAGAAACTGGAAGTGCAGCCTCACTGAAGGGAATGAACCACAACCCTGGGAACTGCATCTGGTCCCTGGAGCCCATCTTCTCTGGCTCTCTCCCTTCTTTCTGCTTACCTGGCTGCCATGACTTAAGGAACCTTCCTGTGTCCCACCTTTCTGTCATCCTTCTGACTCACAACAGGCTTAAAGGGAAAGGAGCCCTAACATGGGGTAGAACCTCTGAAACCCTGAGCTAAAATAAACCTTTCCTTCTCTTAGATATTTTGCTAGGTATTTAATCACAACGATGAAAAGTTAATCAATATGCTGGTTTTAATGCAAGTATCTATTTGTTTTCCAAGTTCCAAAAAATCTTTTAAAAACATAAAAGGAACAAAGTACAACATCAAACCTGTGCAAAGGAATTTTAAGCCACATATGTAGCATAGGCCTATAATGCCAGCATTCAGGAGGCAGAGGCAAGAGGATCAACATGGGTTCATGGCAACCTGGGCTACACAGTGAGACCACATCTCAAAAACAAACAAAACACAGAGGTTGGAGATATTTAGTATACTGTACTTAGTTGCTAATGCTATTAAAAAATTATTATACTATATCTAGTCTACAACTAGGTAAGTAAAATCATTTTTCTCCAATTCATTGCAAGCATGTATTTCACCTGATACAATAAATACAAAGTCCACAAAAACTGACAACTTTA